TATAACAAGATGTTTTTCTACGACGACGTTAGCAGGAACCTGACGGAAGTAGCGGAAGAAACGGCGGTGAACCTTGCAAACGCATGCTGACAACGCACGAGATGCGACGATAGCGCGAGGAAAGATGATTTATGACCGTGGGACACGCCATGTCGTTTGCTAAACTTCGCGAACGTGTGCATGGATACGCGCGTGTACGTGCGTACGCGTGTATGTGTACGCGTGTCCACGTGCGCGAGGGAGTTGAGAGTGGACGAAAAACACGAAGAGCCGGGGAGAGAAGGAGGAACGAGGGGAGAGGGCAAACTAGAGTAGAATTTATTTCGTGTTCTAGAGAGAAAGCACAGTGAGCCCTCTCCGAACACTATACATGATATATGAGAATACATACATGACAGATAGTAAATACAAAGAAAAATCTACAAAACGAAAAGTGGAACAAAAAAGATGAAAAATAAATAACTACACGTATGATACAAGAGTGAAATGAAAAGATGCGAGTTGTAATCGAATGAAGAATATCGAATTTTACGTGTATAATTGAATTGTATAACAAGAATAGAATAGTTGTAAAAGTAGAATAAATCGAAATCTCTCCTTCGAGACGCAAAAAGTGTGTATAAATTATTGATAAATTTAAATGAGAGGAAAGTTCAAAATTTGACAATGAATCAAAGAAAAAAGAATGAATCTTATGCAAATTGGTTTTTGGAGCGAGCGAGATAGAACGAGGAAGAAGAGGTGAATGGTGCCAAAGCGAGCCACGGTGCTTCGAGAAAGGATCGTAACACTGAAATTTGGATCGCTGCCTTCAGAGATTCCACGCCTCGTTAGCCCGGACAACTTTGCGCGTTTAAAAGCGCGCCTTGTACACGCGCACCTGTCACCGTGATACGCGCAGGGTTAAACGTACTACGCATGATCCGCGTGCACGGTCATTACAATTGCAGGCTTTTACGAGGCTGCTCGTCGAGATCGCGTGCCGGATCGAACGCGAGAAGGCCGCGATATTTTTATACATACATGTATATTCTGCCGGCAGAAATTCATATATTGAGCTGTCATTTTAACTTTATACAGGGTGCAGTTAAATAAGTGCGAGAAATTTTAAATAATTTTTTATGGAAAATTTATCGGGTTTCTTATATTTATTTTATCAATATTTTTTTAAATAAAAACTTAATTTTTACCTCCCTCTTTAGAAAAGTGTAACTCCTCAGGAAGGGATATAAGAGTATATGTTTATATAAGACACCCCCTTAACTTTCAACAAAGAATCACCTCTTAAAATTTTTCGCATATATTTAGATTAGACACCCTGTATATGCTTGCTGAAAATCAAAAGAGCTATTCTCTATATTTCATCTGTTATATTTAATTGTATAAAATTAATATTTTAAAAAATGCATCGATAGGTCTCTTTTGAACTATTTTTCCAGCAAAATTCGCTTTCCAAGCTTTTAACATTGCAGGTCTGCATCGACTGTTGTATTTTCCCGCATTTCTTTCCGACATCAGAGAGAACTCGGCGTTTGATCGCAGCCTCCGGTTTACAATTAAACAACATATTTTTACCGTTTAAAACCGATCGGTATCGCTGCAAATTTGAATAAAGAGATTGCATGCACATAGAACTCGCAATCTTTGTCGCGGTACTTTGGCGGTACTTTCAGTTACACATCGCCGCGATGAAAAAGCAGTTTTTTTTTTTACGCTTCTCACTCTCTAATTCGAAGTCGCCGCCGGCGCGATTCATAAAATAAAACTGGAGCCACGCGAGTGTCCGGTCGGCTTATCATAACCACGCCGCGACATTAAAAAGCGTCATAAACGCGTGCCTATAAGTGGGCGTGTTAAATCTCTTTGCGCTCATTTTTATTTTAGCCGTTACACAACACGCCATTTTTACGCATGCGATAATATAGCAATTTTTTCAACGAAAAATTTATTTCATTAAATCTATCAAGGCGCATCATGATTTCGCTTTGCTCGGAAACTCTGTAGGACTTTAATTGAATTGCATAATCTCACGTTAGAACAATTTAAGATCAAGTATCCTTTCTTTTGTATATATAAAAAAAAGAAGGAAAAAGGAAAAACCACGACAAATATCATGTCGACACGCCAATTTGGGTCATTTACAGAAATACACAGAATATACCCAAATATGCATAAGTAAAGGCAATTGCAATACGTCGGTTCGGTTCTGACCTTTTCTTTTTCCCGCAGTCGTAACGATCGATGCGATTCACGTATATGCGTACACATATATTGACAAATGTGCTCTTTCTCTCTCTCTCGCTCGCTCGCTCTTTCTCGTACGTGCTTGTGAAATATAATTTGCACACGCCCAATCCCCAACGCGCGAGAGAATGACCACAAAAAGAGAAAAAATAAAATTTCCCGAATAGCTTTGCGCTTACAGAGATGATCGTTGTGGTACACACGAATGCATCTAGTAAAAACAAAAATGTCTTTTTCATCGCAAAACGATATTTCAAAGATATCGAAAAGTCTTTTTGCCTCTCCCCTGCGCTTTTAAAAAATGCACACATACATATATGTATATATTTCTTAAACATGAAATATGCACAAAAATATTCTGCACTTTTTTTTCGTAAAACAATGATTTAATAAACCTGATAAATGGCATTAAAAAATGTAAAAAGATGTAATATCTACGTTAACTAATTTATTGCAATAACAATAAAAAATCGTAATATCTGTAATATTTGTATGATCTGAAATTATAATTCGAGAAAAGCAAGGGGAAAAAACATCGCAGAAGTATTTGTCGCGAAAATCTGTTCGAAAACTTGTTCGCATAAGTGGTGAGCGCGCGTGGAAAAGTTTTCCGTGTTGGCACGTGTACCTTCTCGCCAGAAGCGCCGACAGCTCTCGGCTGCTTCTTCTTCTTGCCTCTTGCTCCTTTTATGCGATACTCTAACACGCGCGACAGAAACCAAAGAATTTATTCGAACCGCTTATCGAGGGAGACCTCCCAGGGAAGGAAGACCGGTTGTCCATCCGAAGATTAATGAACGCTGTACTAGGAGCGGAGGCTCATTAGAACACATTAACCTCGAGCGCATTCGCTTTTTTGTTCGCGCCTACTCAACCCTAATGACATATTGACCACTACTCCGCGAAATATCAATCTCGAGGAAGAAATATAGCCGCTATTTTACCTGCTGTAATTGTGCATCGTTGGCAGGGAATAATCTTTTCGACTATTTTATGAATACGCACACATTATGTGTCATATTAATGCAAATCGCGATAAAATTTATTCGAGTTTAACGACTCCTATTTTATTTAGAACCGTTGCAGGATTCAAAAAATGCAAAAGTATAGAAAATTATTCTCTAATCCAATCATTTTTAAAATTATTGTATTAAAGATACTGTGTTCGTAGAATTTCTTTTTTAATTATGTTCTAAAATAGCTTCTCTATATTCTGAATATTATTCGTATTGTAATTTTTGAAAACTGAATTTTCAATTAAAGACATGTTTTTATATGTCATACACACTCTTGATTTCCAATTACGTCACTCTAGAAAGTCTATGAAAAAATCACTCTATATATCAATTAAATAACAATAATTGATTTTTAATTAAAATTTTCAAATATACAAGTAAAAATTTAAAAAAAAAAAAAAAAATAGCTATGACACATGGTAATATACAACTGCATTTATACGAATACATTTTTTTCCGGAGCCTTGATTAACCATCGACAGACATCCGAATGCACATGGTGTGTAAACAATAATGATTTGCCTGGATCATATCTTATCGCTATTATCATGAATCTCTTAAAAGAGGCTGGTTTATCTGCCGGCAGTATATAAACTGTAGATAATGTTATAATATAGCAAAGCCGAAGGTATGATTTTAGAGGAAAAGATTTCCAGATTTTAGAAGTCTAAGTAAAGTCGAAAAGTATTTAAAAAAATAAGATCCATAATTTAAATTATATAAAATAATTACCTAACATAATTTAAAAATTATTGAAAGCATTTTGAGACTACAATTTATAAAACCGAAATATGTATGTGCATATTTATATATTAAATCTATTATTAAAAATATATTATTAAATATTTTATATATATATATATATATATATATATATATATATAACAAAATAATATTACAAATTTCAGCAGAATCAAGATGATGATAATTACGTAGTATTATATAGTTTATAGTTTAAAGTTCGATACACAATCTCATGAAATTAAAAATTAGGATATGTTAATACAAGATAAACGTGACAGAATCTTTTGTTTACCTCTCTTCTTCACTTAGAAATGAAAGAGAAACACAAAGTGTTGACCTTACGATCTAAACTCGTTTCATGTAAGCTGGCTTTTTTGTATGTGTAACCGACAGAAACGAATAAAAATTGCAAAACGAATGTACGCGATTAAACAAAACGGTGTGCAATATAACCTTTATCAAAATAACGATATCTCGAATTGCGATAAATAGCGTATTCGATTAAGCATACCGTCGTAAATTCCGTCGTGCTGACCATTTCGATTGCCGCAAATTTTTTTATTGTTTCAAAGAGATATTTATTTTCCTGATTTCACTGGAAAAAGATATTCCCTTTGTTCGCGTAATTTTTTATAAAAATTGGCAAATTAATTGTATGTAATTGTAGTTTATTAAGAATCAATAATATATAATATATTTTGCAACGAGTAGAGAAGATAGTTTTACGCGCAATTTAATATTCAGAACAATATATTCCATATATATAAATTCCGCACTTTGATTCTCTCTAACTGCGATTCGATTCTTTTTTCGAGAAAATGCGAATTTTATTCCATCAAAACTGATTTATTCTAAAATAAAACAAAACGCAATGAATCCGTCTTGCAGACGAAACTCCGATTACATTGTGCGAAGACGAAGGATCGATCGTGCGAAATCTTACTTAACATACACGCAAAAGGGAAAAGAGAAATGAATTCGTGAAAGAGTACTCACCTCGGTGCGTTGCGATAACCTCTTGTTCAGCTCGTGAAGCCTGTAGTCCGGCTGGCTGTAGCCATAGGCTGGAGTATGCCTCCTGGGGACAGGTAACGATCTGTCAGATCAAACCGATCGGTCAATGTTAGGTGTGTGGTGTACAGCGTGTTACTCGCGTGAATGTTTCATGCATACAACACACCTCTGATCATCGCGTTGCGTCGAGCCCCCTCGCGAATTTTCGTAAGGCATCCCGAAGGGTACAGCTACCCGATTGACTGGCTGACTCTCTTTCTCTCTCGAGACAGAGAGAGAGAGAGAGCGCACAAAGTGCCCCTCGGACATGGCACAGATTCGCGAAATGTAGTCTACGACTTTCGCAGCTTTCGATCTTTTTTAACCCTTTTGTCAATAAACGAGTGTCCGAGTGTATCCGAAACTTTAAATATGTCGGAACTTTTCTTCGCCCGAAACAAAATACAAAACGGCACGTTTGAAGGGCTCGATGCAACGCAAATCAATCTATTTTAATTGAAAAAAAACTTTGATAAATTATATAATTGAAATTATGTTCGTTTACTATTAATCTTTTTGAGTTCTAAAAATCGATAATCGAGATCACACTATGACAAGTTAATCTTTCATTTGGGTAATTTTATTAAGTATCGATTTCAATGCTGTATACTTGCAAAAGTTCTTCTTAACTACTATAAAATAACATTTAAATCAATATATCTGACATTGAAAAAATCTCAATGTTATAAATTTCAATTCTCAACTGAAGATGTGCTATAAATTTCAGTGCTTGCTACTCTAGACATATATACTTTTTATCTAGAAAATTATTTTTTATATGTGACGTAACATCTTTCTCGTACATCACTTAGAAAAATTCAGCATTTTCCTGTAGAGAAAGGAGTGCTAATATTTTCCAAAATCAAATCGCCATGAGATGCATAATTAAAATGTTATCAACCCTTTTTTTCTTATACAAATGCGAAACACTAGCTAAGAATACATCCCAAGACAAATATTAATTTTCCCTTCCCTTTTTTATTGCAATTCCTACAATTCGAAAAGTTATGGAGCTAAATTTTATTTAAACATTGTTAATATATACGAAAAATTATGTATATTTATACATTTATTTTCAGCTCTTCAATTTGTTATAAATTGTTGAAAAATAATGCGAATGTATTGTATTAACTTATGAATATTTCTGAAATTATCGTTTCCTCCTAGTTGAAATCATCACTAAATAAATACTTTTTGAGCCTTGTTGAGAGGTTCTTCATACGATCGTTCAGATAGTTTTCAAGGCAGAGAGACGCGCGTTTTAAAAAAATTTCGATTTAAAAGCTTTGAGAATAAAATTAACTGCGAATGTTTATGTGTGTATGTGTGTGTGTGTGTGGAAACTTTTAAAATCGAGCTTTAATAGTGCTCGTGCATGAAACGTGTCATCGTCGTAATATAATACATATATTGAGAAGTTTGACCGTACAGCTCTGTTTAATGAAATAACACCAAAATCAATAATGACGCAAAGGTCGTCATATTTATGCTGTCAGTCTGATTGTCGACGATCATCGAAACACTAATAATTTGAATGCCGTGAATCGATTTTACCAGCAGTATTATCAAATATATTCAATTTTCATAGTACAAATGATGAGCCGAACGCAATAATTTTGTAATGACAAAATAAATGGGAAAATTAATTTCCGCGCGCGTGCACACGGCAAATACCGTGATATTTTTCTTCCATTCGACTTAAGTGCACGACTTAAATCATCCGTAAATTATTTACTTGGAGAAACAATTCATCCGTACACAGGATCGAATGTTAAAGTAAAAAAAATTCCTATATTCCTAAGCTAAAGAAAATTTTAAAAAATTCAAATAATTTATTAAAAAAAAAATATATATATATATATATATCTCTTTTTCTACATCCAACTTTTGATATAAGAAAGCCGATGTGTGTTGGACGCGCGCTTTAATCAACGCTTTCAAATCAGGCTCTCGGCTCCGATCGCTCGTGGAATAACAGTTGGTTAACCGGCGGGTAATTAACGTCGCATTGATAATATTTAGTGCTCGAAATGCCCGGATTGGTGTGCACTCGCGCCCCGAGGCCGGACGAACGATCATTAAGAAACAGCGCGGCCCGGTGATTAATAACAACAGTACGCAGAATATTCCGATAACAGAGAGTTCAGCGCGCCGCATTTCCGGGAACGAATTTCGGGATCGTTCGATCGATATTACATTTAGCACGTTATATATTTCTCTCGCGCGGCATGATATACGAATGAATCTCGCACAACCCCGATCTATATATACGCTGAAGAAGAGTAAAAACATATATCGAACGGCATTATCGAAAGCAAATGTAAACTAATAATTGACGCCCAGAAAATCCCCTTTTTTAGCAGAAATTAAAAAAATATGAAAAAAATATCAGATTAAAGTTCAAACAATGATTGCAATGTTTTATTTTATTCCAAAAACATGTTTACTACTTACAAATTAGACAGCTTAACTGCATTGAAAAAAACTTGTTAACTAAATCGTTCAACTAAATACTATTTTGTTAATTGAACATACAGAAATATTAAAATGTAACATATTAAATCTAACAAACGTGTATATTTGACTTAAATATTAATATATGTCCAATTAACAATGTAATAATTTAGTTGAACGGTTTAGTCAAGTTAACAATTTTTTGTCAGTGTGGATCTTTGGTTCACGATATCTTGAAAACTAGACATTGTAATGCGACATTTCCAATTGATATACTTTATGTAATTCAAAATTTTTGTTACTGAAAAAGAGGATTTTTAAGGACTATTTTGGGCTACATTCTTATTAAAAATTGTAAAAAACAAGGAGAGATCGAAATCTTTTTCTCCCGAATTCGCGAGCTATCGACCTTGATAATACACGTGTGTCGCAGTTTCTTCCGTATATTAACCGGCCTTGTAAAATCGTTATGCTAATTATAGCGCGCATAGTTGCACGAGGCTACAGGAGAGAAGGAGGGAGAGATAAACAAAGTAGACATAAGCGTTGCGATGATGCGAGAATAATAATTATACACGGATTATAGTGTACGCACGCTTAGAGATATCGAGAGACGGACTCGTTCCTGACGTTGCAAAAAAAGTGTAAATTGACGCTTTATTTAAATCCTATGGAATGTCGCAGAAGCACTTTATCTGGAATTTTCCATTGGACTTGTGACGTCACTTGTGATCGAATAATTACCAAGATGAAGAAATAACAGTTTTTTTTTCTTGCAAATCAACCGCGCTAAGCTAATTAGAATTAGAGTGCATTATAATTTTTTTTTTTTTCAGAAAAATAATCTTTACCAATGATAAGACGGTTCCTTTGATTTTTTTATTCAGCGCCATCTAAGATAAGATAAATGACTGGAAGATTTTTCTAAACCCATGTCGCAAAAAAAAAAAAAAAAAAAAAAAATAGATAACTTTGTCTAATCTTACAAACTACGTGATACACCTATGTGTAATAAATACTTATACACAAAACATACGTGTGATTAAGAGTAAATTAAGAAATTTCATTGACAAAACTCTGATAATTAATGGAATAAATAATTATGAATGACAAGATCGAGACTAGAGAAAAGATTCAACATGATTCTTCCTTTTCATATACACGAGAAATACGCCGTCCTAAGATCGATCGCGTCGGGAAGGAAAACTTGGACTTTCTCGTCTCCAGAGAATCGACGCCATGGGACTTCGTCGACACGTCACTGTCGCACACGTGTACACGCGCGCATGTATACGTGCAAATTTACCAGGGGTGGGTTCGAGGACTTAAGGGTTGCAAGGGTAACCCAGTGTCATGTACGGTTTACTAGGGAGGAGTGACGAGAGACGCATGAACAAACCTTTCGTCTCTCATTCCAGATATCGTTCGATCGAGAATATATATGCATGTAAGAAATTATTCAAAAGAAATTGTTCAATAAAATATTGCAATTACAGAATTTTTAATCTCACATATTTAACAAATTATTCTTAACCTTCCAGTAATTAGTTGTTCAGAAAAGGCATTTAAAAAAACAATTTGCCAAATTATTTTTATTTTTCTAAAAATTAGTTATTCATAAAATATATAAAAAAAATTAAATTCCTAAGGAATATTTAGCAAATTATTTTTAATCTTCTAAAAATTAGTTATTCATAAAATTCATTTAAAAAACTTATTAAAAAAAAACAGAATTAAATCTCTATCTTCTTAAAGAATATTTTAACGCTAAGAATTTATTTGACTCAAAGTTTCTCGCGTCGAATGACAGTCATCCAAGAATTGATCTCCGCAGAGACGCTGAAGGGACGCGATTGTTTCCGGACATGTCGGAAACGACACGTGGGACACGAGGACTTGAGGAATCGAGCGTGTGCGGTATATATGTAAGACGGAATTGAATCGCGCTAATATTTAGTCTGATAACGTAATTTCACGCGAGGCACGTATAGAGCGGCCGTGCAATAACCCTTCTTAAAGCGTGCGTGCATGTAAGTCGGGCTTTTCATTCAAGACATGCCGCGCGGATCGAACTAATTAATTCGTCGCACGACAGGCAGGTCGCCGTCTTTTTCCTACATTCTCTGATTCTTCACCGAATCCGGCAAGGATCGTGACAGATCATTTCGCCGATACGGAACTAATCCGCTGAATGAAAAACTTGCGCCTCGCACGCGCGGAATCTTTCAAGGCTGTACCTTCAAGTATTTCTGAAATTAATCCTGCCGTCTTTCTTTTGCAAACTACATTATAAAAGGGGATTATGTAAAATTACATAAATAATAAATGTAATTCTACATTATTTTATGTAATATATTACATATTTTTTACAATGCATATTTACTCTTGTCCCCTTACAATGTTTTCGTAAATACATGACGATGTTCTTTGCGCGTTCTTTATATAAAATATATGTAGATAAATTTTGTTAGCGATACATATTAATGCTGGAAAAATCATCGTAATTTAATTAATAAATAAAAAATGCTTTATTCGCTTCAATTTATTCACTAGCCCTCAAAATTCGTTATTATGAACGGCGAAAGATAG